ACACACACACACACACACACACACACACACACACACACACACACACACACACACACACAGGGTGGGATGTATGTACCAGCAACATTCGCCGGGCATGGACACAATCGTAAAATGTGTGATGATTGTCAGAACGCAAAACGCAGAATATATTGCCTGGCAGAATGTTTAGCTTATTTGAAAAACCCCGAGCTCCACAAATATCGTCCAAACGGTTGGGGAGATGTCTGTCAACACATGTAGCTAAGGTTGGAATACCAGACAAGTACATAATAGATTTTTCATTGACTTATGAATGTTATAAAGGTGCTGTTTTAGACAATATGATGTGGGAAGCTTTCAAGTGATCTCTGAGGTCACCTGGCATTTGACTGCCGATGACAGGTGGATGCCGATACTGCCATACAAACAGCGCACCAGGTGGCTGGCAGTGATGGCAGATACAGTGATGACGTTGGGAGAGAATTGTTTGTCTCATTAACGTTTCCTTTAAGAAAGCTATACGTGAAATCAGGATTTGAGTAGGCTAGAGCCAATCACAGCATCTTCGCGCGCGAGGCAGGGTCCACCCTGGGCAGGTCGTCAGTCCACCACAGAGCTGGATTTGAGTCTATCTCTCTTAGAATAACGCCTAACAATGATCTTGAATGGATTAATTACATTTATTATGATTAACAAAGGTTCATTAATTATACTGATGCTGCCTTGGTGGCTTTGGGAGAACAAGTAGGGTGTCGTGGCAAGACAGGCAGGCCTTGGATTGGATATTGGCGAAAGGTGGCATGTGAAAATGCAGAAAAGGCAAAAAAAATATATATAGGACTGTTGGCAAACCATGTTGGGAGATTGGCAGGAAATCCTTAATGAAAGTGCTTGTCATGATGGCAGTTGTGTTACTTGGAATGTTGATAACCTATTGCTGTATAGTTTCCGTGATGTGAGTGATTGTAAGCTGGACACTCACCCATCATATTATGATGCCAGTGATTGGAGGACCATTCAGCACAAACAGCACTGGTATGAGCCCAGATCTAGGCACCAGAGAGGATGACAGTGACAACAAAAGGCATGCTTTTGGAGACAAACCCCTACCCACCATGATTCTGAGATGGGGACACAAGGTTTCGGGGACATGAGTAATGTAGTAATACATGCTTACTTAATGTTTGTTAAGTACTGATCCCATGTTCATTCATCATTAATCAATCATGACAGCTCATGTATTTCATGGGGAAACCTATATTAGTTCATGATTTGTTTTTGAGTAGTAAATGTGTTAAGTAATTTTGCCCCCTGAAGTGGTCTTACCATTATTAACTAATTAGTTTACTGTTAACTAATATAGAGCCTGAATGGAATATGTGAACTGTCATGATTGATTAATGATGAACAAGCATTGGATAAGTATACAACATACTTAGTGTGGGAATCATCTCCATTATTTCATGGGAAACTGTGAATGGTGTCGTTTTCAGATATTGTTCTCCGTGTTGGTCAGGGATCACTGGTGGGTTGCGAGTGGAATTTCCCCAAGCATTGGCCAGCTCCAGGGTGTTCATCCTCCTTCCTCGACTGAATAGACGGATGTTGTTTTCCGGACTCTTCTGAGTCCCCAAAGGGGAGAGCTATATGGTATATATCCTCATGTAACCTCATAACCTATGCAAACTTATAGAATGTAGATGTAGAAAACAGGTACTCTCATGCAATCCATATAAACTTAGAGAATATAGCCGTAGAAAACATGTTACTAAATTTGTTTTGGTTTCAATTCCAAATTAAAAGCAGTCAAAGTTAAACTCGTCAATTTTGAGGGGCAAGGCCAGCCAGAAGCCCAACACCAGCCTGGATCTCATCTCAGGTGTCTGTGCCAAACATGATGATTGGCTGGCAGTCTGACCTGGTTTGGTCTTGTTTTCAACATTCAGTCTCAAGTCAGTAAAAATGTGAAATCTACAGGAAGTGAGTTGATGGGACCCTGACTTTGCATTCTCCTTCCAAGAAACCCAACTGTAAACAATGTTTGCAGTGAGCTACAGCAACCTTGCAGACCTTTGTTGTGGCTCAAGAAGAGAAATAGAGATGTGCGTGGTAACTGGAGGTCTTGGTGATGTCTATGTCTAACCCCCCCCCTCCCTTCTCGGATGGTTCACTCAGAACAATCCAGTAAATTGTGAAGCCCTTCAGCAGAATATAAGCCGGTATCGGGTATATTTCTGAAAGCACAATGATGGAATAACTACAAAACCAGTGCTAACCCTAAACCTTAAAAGTGCTTTTACTGTTATTCATAATATTTTATAATATGGTATAATAACCATAATACATGTCTGGTGATACAGGTTCTCAAAAACCTCCAAAAGATAAAAAAGCTTCATCACAACAGCACATTAATGTAGTCATGGTTTAATGATAGACACCACGTGAATGCCACAAACAAGCTGCCTGGTACATACACATAAAAAAGAAAAGAAAAACACAACAAAGTGAAAAAGTGCAAAGCAAAAAATATATATAATAAGTACGAGGCAGTCAGACACCAGACGCCATAGCAGAGCATTCAGCCGGGGAGTCCGTTTCCTCTGGTGAACAGCCACGGAAGCCAAACAACAGAAAACTAGCATTCTTTGCAAACAATACAAAATGGAACCAGCTTTTAGTTCAACCCAGCTACTGCAAAGCAGCAGTATGTTCTCCTATAATGCAGTAGCTGGGTATTTCAGTTGAGTGCATTCCATGCATTTCAACACAGGTAGGTTCAGCTGGGTGGCATTTTCTACATTCACCTGGTGTTTCTCACAGACAAAATTGTGTTTAAAACTTACATCTACTAACATCGCACTATACTGCAACAGTTCCCCAATATACCAATCACATTAGAGTAAATTCGCATTTTCCCAATGACCGTTATAGCAGAACACACTGTACAAATGTACTGTGTGTGCATTTTAAGGGGACTTAAAGCAGACTAAATTTTTAACTACAGAACGTCTGTTGAAAGATGCAAATTGATATAGAAGGTGATTAAAAACAAACAAACAGAAACAAACATGAATCATCTCAGCAACTCACTTGTCTGTAATCAAAAGGCATAATGCTTCAATTATTACCCAGGCAAAAGTAATTTCTGACTGTGACCTGTACTTCTGTGCAAAACAGCTGGCAGGATAGGGAGGGCATTGGATATCGATATCTTATGAATATGATAAATAGCTTCTTCGAGGTATTGGCCTTTGCACTGTATCCATAGACGCACCCTCTACATCTGCAATCCTTGTGCTTTATTCTATTACCGTGTGCATTATTGTGTCTATCATTGTGTTTTGGAGCTACTGGTGCCTCAGTTTCCTTAGGGATTAATGATCCATCATCCATCCATCTATTTAATCATCTTGTCTGCATGTCAAAGGCACCTATTGGTCATGTGACCTCAGTGTCACATGGGGATGACATGTGGGAGATGTTACTCCTGCGTGATGCTGCATAGTTTGATGGACCCACAAACAGCATCAGCTGGCTCCAGCATGAATGCCGATGACATGGGTGAGGAGACCATGAGAGCCGTTTGGTGAAGGACATCTGACAGGAATCAGTGACGGCAGGTCAGGCTGTAAAACACTGGCGTGGGATTTTATGTGATACATGAGGCTTTGGCTCCGGGTTTGAAACACGGGTTTGGTGCTGGGGGTGTAACATGGGTACGGAGGTACGGCTTTGGGAAGGAGACTCTGATGAAGGCAAGACAAATGCAGGATGTGGAACATGGGGATTGTGGTCACGCGTCTCTAACATGGAGCCTCATTCTTCACACTGCAGCCAGATTGACCTCCTGAGAAGCAGAAGAGGGTGTGAGTATGAACTGAGGTGGATCACAAACTGCATCAGAACCAGCAAACAAAATACTGATTGATTAATTAAAATCATAGATATTCTATTAAAACAGGAGTAAAAACCACTGTCATTCCTCAAACAACACAGAAATATTTAGGAAAACCTATTTTCTTAAAATCTGTGTACCATTATTAGCCCGCTGGTTCACTGAAATGAGTGGATCACTGGAATTTGGAAGTCGGTCAGCTTCCTTCCTCTTCTGATTCCATTGTGTATAGACGCAGATTGAAAGTAAAAGAAGGACTCCAATAACAACTCCAATAAAAGTCCAGAATGTTCTTGGAGGAGCTGTGGAAGAAGGTCAGGATTATAGGTATGTTCAGTGGCAGCACATTCTCACAGCCTCTTTGCATGACAAAACAAGCAGGAA